TTTTTTTTTAAGGAACGCATTACTTCACTCATTGTTCCAAATTGTCTGATGGAGGACCTTACACAGAAACTTGAAAACAGATGTCCATCAAAAAGGGATTGATTAAATAAATGGTGGCACAAGGGTCTTCCTGCCTCCAGGATTGTGGACTTCAATTCAGGTATCATCTGCTATTAGAGGGACCATCACTAAAAACAGGCTTCACCATGATTTTACCATGCCATTCTCCCCATGCACTCACTGACTCCCGTTGATGCTTAGTTGGAGCTCATCATGCTGGTTCAAACTTTTTGTATGGCATTCACCACCACATTTCACAATCTGACTCCGGCCTATCCCACCAGTCTCCTCTCCATTCACATCCACAAACAGACCAACTAATGGTAGTTCCCAGGAAATCACATACTCCAATACTCCCACGCTTTTTTTTTTTCACTCCCACGCTTTAATACAGACTGTTGTTCTTCCCTTTGCTGGACTAACATCTAGACAGCTTCAATACTCAGCTTAAATAATATTTGCTTTAGCCCCTCATTCTGATTTTGGGGCCCTCCTCAGCACTTTCATAAACCTCTGTGCATAACTCTGCCATAAACTATATATACATGTATGTATACACACACACACACCATCCTATATTATCACAAGTATTATTCTTACCTTGCTCCTCCACTAGACTTGGAGCTCTTCAAATACACAGTATCTGCTCTGAAATTTCACACAGTCTCCTAACAAAGACAGAGATGACAGGTGTACAAGGTGTTAAAAGAATATAGAAGAAAGAATTTCTCAGCAGGCAGGCAGGGGTTGGGAAAATGTCAGGAAAGGCTTGCAAGAGGAAATGTGAACTGAATCTTAAAAGATGAGTAGGAATTCACCATGTGGATGGGTGAAGGGCCTTTTATTCAGAACAAGCAGCATAAGCAAAGCCAGAGACGTGTGAAGCAGAGAGGGTCTGGCAGTGATTGTGTCCACAAGACAAAAACTAATCCTTCTAAGGTAAGGCAGTCACCAGCTTAAAGACTCTAATATTCAAAGAATCAACATTTCATCCATAATGGCGAACAATTAATCGACTGTAAGAAGATGTCACAATCAGATGACACTTTATGTGTTTTCAAGCATGTACACTGATTTAAGAACCTTTCTCAAGTGTTAAGATCTTTTATACAATATGTGGTAAGGTCATCAGAAAGGCAGACAAATTAAATATAGTTATTAAATATAGTTATTTTTCCAGTAAACTGTCTTTCCTAAAGTAAGTAAGATTACAGCATGTTCACATTTTTTATTTCTTTTATATAGAAGTGACTGGTCCTTATACCTTTAAAGTACTGACTGAGCTAAGAGGTATAGGACACAGTCCCCAGATTCATGGAACTAACAGTCTAGCAGAACAAATGATACAGATCCACAAATAATCCCAACGTAGAGCAGGATGAGACAGGTGCCACACCAGCATTATAACTCAATGTAGAGAAAGAAGAGACTTCCTGTCACACAAATTAGGAAGGCAGAATGAAGGTGGCATCTGAGCCAGGACCTGAGGCAGGGCTGAGTCACAGTACAGTCTAATAAGAAAGAATATAAATTTCTAACATAAGTGTGGGCTTCCCCAATGGATCAGCTGGTGAAGAATCGATCTGCAATATAGAAGCCACAGGAGACTGCAGGTTCGACCCCCGGGTCAGGAAGATCTCTTGGAGTAGGAAATGGCAGCCCACTCCAGCACTTTTGCCTGGAAAATCCTATGGACCGAAGAGCTTGGCGGACTACAGTCCAAAGGGTCACAAAGAGTCAGACACGACTGAGCGACTAAGCGTGCACACACACACACACACACACACACACACACATGTAGCTATTCATTCCTAGCAACAATTTATTCTGAGTTGAGTATCTGCTTAGAATTAGAAGTGATAATGATGGGATACAGAAAAACCTAACCAAAAGGGGAAGAAAGATAGAATGTTTATAGAGAGTGGTTCTCTTTTTCAGCCCTTGATATAAACAAATGTTGAATTACTCATTTCTTTTGGCTAAAGGCCAAAATGGTAAACTGGAAAGAAGCTTTGTCAAGAACCAAAAACTGCCAGAGAACATTTCAGCCCACACACAATACAGTATTTTCCCTCTCCCACAGTCCTCAGACACATTTAATGTTATTCTCCTATGGAGGAAGTTGTGAGGATTATTAATGTTGACGGAAGATGATGGTGGGAAAGGAAGTTGCGAGTAGGACAGAAGTGAAGAGACCATTCAATCCCAGCCGGTGCCCCACTCAGATCTGGCCCTTGAGCTCTAGGCCTGGAATCCACCACTGTCACATCTCTCCACTTTCAAGTCTCACAAGAACTTTAAAGATGTCACATCCAACACTGAGGTCATCTCCTGCACTTTCTCCCATGTTCTCCAGCCCACCAAATCACACACCAGAAACCCGGGTGTCATCCTTGATTCCATCTTCCTCACACCATCCTCACACCATCTGCTATCATTTTACTGAATGTGAAATAATAATTACTGAACTAAGTGCTTCACAGTTTTTCATTTGATCTTCATAAAAAAACCCAATAAGGTTGAGTTCTTAATCTATATTTTACCAAAAAAGAAGCTATTGCCCAGAAAGGTCAGGTAAGTTTCTCAAAAACACAGGTCTGGTAATAGCTGGGTCTGACCAGGAAGCCTGAACTCCCCACCCCTGTCCTAATACACACCTCTCCATCCTTTCTTTTTATTATCTGCCAATCCCTATTTTTCTCTGTTCCCACCAGAGTCACTTAAGATAAAAATTTCTTGCCAGGGTTACTGTAACAGCCTCTAGACCTGAGCCTCAAAAGGCTATCTCTTAATTGCCAATGAGCAAAAATGTTCAGAAAGTTCAGAAAGAACCCAAATGCCTACAGATTCTGGGCATCTGTCCTGAAGCAGTGAGTCCTACCTATGGTAAAATGCAGTGCATGCTTCGTCCAAACAGGCCAGCATTAAGCAACTCCAGCCCACCAATTCCTTGTAGCAAGATGAGCAACTGATTTATCAACAAAGCCTGATCTCCATTTTTCCTTGGAAACACTGGCAACTATTTTAAAAAATGTTCAAGCTCTCTGTGAGCAAAACTAAATTCACCTGTATGCTAGATCTGAGCCCCTGTATGGGTGTGTGCTCAGTCGTGTCTGAGCCCATCAGGCTCCTCCTCTCCATGGGATTTTTCAGGCAAGAATACTGACCCATTAGAACCAGCTCACAACTTCTGAAATACAAATCTGATTAGGTAATTCCACTGCTTAAAATCTACACAATGTTCCTCTACAACTCTGGGATAAACACTACTCTAAGATGCCATCAAAGGCCTTCCACTAGTCAGCTCATTTCTCCCTCTCCCACAGCACCTGTCATCACACACCCTTCAAACACACACCCCAATGCCCAGATGAAGGTTCCTGGGATGTGCCCCTCACTCTGGCTTCCGAAGAGTCAGTGTATTTTTTTGTCTGGCCCGGAAGTCCTTCACTTGACTTAACACTCAGGATACAGCTGGGTCACCAGAGCCCATCACTCTTGGCTGAGACACTGTCCACTGCGATGGGCTTTCACAGTGCCTACCTCAAAGCACACCTGCATCAAAACACACCTCTCATCCAACATTGTCTTCATCTGTGGGCCTTCAACACGGACAGGAAATGACATCAATGCCTGCAGCTTCATCTTACTGATGTCTGCAGTGGCTGGCCCAGGATGAGACAGTGAATAGCCCTCAGTATGTAGCTACTGAATGAATGAATCAACTGAAGCCCACTGAGTCTGTGAAATCTTTCTTGATCCACTCCGGCCAAAGTAGTTCTTCCTCTAAATAGCCTCAGCTCTTTAATCCCTAACTCCTGCCTACTTTAGAATCCTGGAAGGAATAAGAAACAACCATCTTATCGAATAAGCTCCTCCCAAGCAAGAGTCCATGTTTTACTAAACTTGGATTAAACTTTTACTAAATGTCTCTCTCCCAGCCCCTAACTTAGCTCCTACCCTTTAGTAAGCTCCCAAATGTGCGTCAAATAAATATCTAAGCAACTTTACATGTAATTCTACAATTACATTCTCAGTTCTTCCAGTTCCTCTTCCCTGGGCTAGGGAACCAAAACCATACCTCATTCTGACGTTTGCAAATGGATATTATTAAAGAAGTGGGAAAGGAATGGTTCAGAAGCACAGACAGTTATCCAATGACAATTTTTACTTTAGACATGAATAATTTGAGAAATTTTCTACTACTTTCAAGGGATTATTTCCAAATGATGGGCATGGTAAACAAAGTGTAATTTAAAGCACGCTGTATACCATGGATGTTATCATGGACCCTAGCAAAACACCGTTTCAAAGTTTCAACACTTATCAAGAACTGTTCTGCATGAGGAGGAGGCATTCTCCTTATGGCCAGCAACAATCCTGCCAGTAGGTTTAAAGATTAGGAAACCATGGTTCAGAAAACTTAAATAAAATATCTAGTATGTCATAGTTGGTGTCACAGGAAAGAGTCCTGAACCCACATGTGTTGGGGACAAAACCCAAATTATATTCTTTGGCACTGACTCCTTACTTTCAGTCATAGCTCTGCTAGTTAATCCTATAGCTGACAGTAAATATAAGATACACATGCTTTGATTTTTAAGTCTCTCTGAACAGAAAAAAGTCTTAACATTTATTTCTAGAACTATCAATCTTGTTCCCAAATGGTTTCATTAAAATCTCCCCTTAGAGACACTTTCTCTGACCTGTAAAAATATAAAGTACATTGTCTTCTTGGTACCAAATCCATAAAACAGAATAACACATATTTCACCAAAAATTTCCAGTTAAGTATCATAAGGATGATTTTTCAGGTGACATTGTTCACTTCCAAAAATATTTAAAACAAGAAACTTCTTATGCACCAAAATCATACCATGAACACTCCTAGGTGCTAGTACAACATCTTACATATGTTACATAATAAAAATATTTCTTACCTGATTTTTCCATGGAGAATTAATGAATACGAGACACAATTCTCTCAGGTTAATGATAGGATGGTGTTAGTAATTTCATTTGGTGGATTTTTTTTTTTTTTTGCTTCTTTAAGTATTAAAAATATAAACTGTCCTTTAGGTTAGAATGGAGGTCAATTTATTAGATTCGTAAAACAGAAGAAAGGAATTATAAACTGAAATGGAAAAGTTTAATGTAAGAACTGAAAACAAAATTATGAACAGAATAAACACATCTCTAAGGAATACAGCTTCCCCCCAAAAAGCAACTCAAGAACACAACTAGTGTTAAGTTTTATTAATAACTTTATAAAGTTATTATTGAGAAGTATGCCTTTCAAGACATAGATTAGCCGAAATTATTTCAAAAAAGATGTTCATCTAACCTTTGAGCGGGCACCTTATCCTGGCTATTCTCTGCCTTAAGACGTAGAAAGCTGCAAAACAAATGTCCAAAAAAAGAAATTCCAGATCTTTTCTCTGTAAGGAGGCTGGACTTGGGTATTTATCAACTTGTTACATTCCCGGAGACTTACACATTTGCAACTTTCAGTGCTTTTCTGAAACAAAAAAAAAAAATCTAGGACATGTTTAAAATAGTAATATTTTAGTCACCATTTTGTCATTAAAAAACATTCTGTAACAAAAATATTAACCAATAATTGAAGTTGTGCTATTCTTTCATAGTTCAAATTCTAAATTAAAATATTTCAGACCTCTAGTGACATTGTACCTTTCAATCCAATTTTTAATCTTCAGAATATTAATTTTTGGTTCCAAGAGACAGTATCCTTTTATTTAAATGAGTATTGGACAAAATATCTGAAAAAAATTAAAACTTTTGATCAATTAGTAACCAAGGCTGGTAGTTTTTTAAATTGATATATTTTTTTACTTACCTGTTTCTTACATACTGTGTTTCCCCTTTCTCTCCAACTTTGGGGAGGAAATATTAAGGTTTTTTCTTTTCCTTCCACAGCATTTTCTTCTCGCATGGCTGCTTTGGTTGTCAATAGCAACGGGAATTAGTGGGAAAGCTCAGCCATTTCACTTGAAGATACAAATAACCCAGTATAATGAAAGTAAATGGAAGAAATCTGAAACACTACTAGTAATGGCCAGGGTTCGACCAGCCTAGAAATCCTAGAGGTAAGGGAAGAGATGATTTTATTACTTCTCTTTTGGATCAATGCCTTCTTAGCATAAAATATTAGTCTTCTTTAAAGCACTAAATATTCACTTTAACTGTCTATTTGTGTTATTTGTTTGTATAATTTAAAGCAAGGTGAATAGAGCCTTCTTTGGGGTAGTATCAGAAGAAAAAAACTGTAAGTCCAATTTGACTCAAAGTAGTAGTTTATCGATCCAGAATGATTGCTTTGTACTTTTAAAGGCACACATAACATTTGCTTTTTTAGAGTATTATTTTCATGTCTGTTGGGTTTACAAGTTAGCATGTTGTTTTCGTTGTTGTTGCTAACTTTAAAAGAACTCCTGATGTTGAAACATTTCTTAAAATAATGAAATATATCAGGCACAATCTAAGCAAAAAGCAGAAAATAAATCAAAGCATAAACTGCAAATTATATTCTGGATCACATATTAAGGAAAACTATACTATGGTTATGTATGAGAAGGAAAAATATAAAAGGATACTGTTTCTTTAATACTCTTTAAATATCAATTTTGAATAATCTATCAAGAAAAAATATTAAATGATTTTTTTTAAAAAGGTGAAACAAGCTAATAAAGAATAGCAAACATCATTATTTTCTAACTAGTTATGTTAGTACCAAGCAGCCAAACAGTTCTGTATAGTTTATTTTTGTCTCATAATATCTTAGTTGGGCCACATTTCTCCTACTTCACTTAAATCAATGTTGACACACATAGATTTAGCAAGTTTTATGGTATTGGTATCCACATCCATTAAATAAGACTTCCAGAATGAAATTTTAGCCAAGGTCCCATATTCTAAAATTTGCATTTTAAAACTATACAAAGCTGCATTTTAAATCAAAGCAATGTTACACTTGGACTAATTATTTCCAGGAAGTTTCTGGAATCTATTCTCTAATGATGTGTAAGGAAATTTCCATAGGCAACCATCACCACAATTTTTGTGAAAGCTGCCCAAAATAAATGCCCTACATGTATTTTTGTGTGTGGCATAAACCCCACGGTGAAAAGCACTAAAATAGGATTCATTAGTAGCACATAATATAGAAACGCCTGTCCATTTTCTCCTGATAATCAGTTTTCCAACAGCCGGTATAAAAAGCCATGGTGTTTAATGCATGCAATTCTGCCAGCTCCAAGCCACACAATGAGAACTCTCAACTGCAGAAGTCTCTCCTGAGACTTGCCCCAGACCACTGCTTCAGTTCACCTGAGGGCTCCCAGTGACACTCTGACTTTACAGACAGGTCTCCGTGATTATTAGGCATCCTTAAACATCATAAGCACTCTGATGCTTTATAAAATTGCAAATAGTATAAACCAGAGAAGCTAAACAATTTGGGGATGTCTTTTCTTGCCTGCTAAACACAGGTCACAGATTTGGAGTCCATTCTGGGCCCTGGACAGAGTTAGGGAAAATAAGGGATAAGAAACCCAAAGGAATTGAGCCTCTGTATTATCCAAAGGGATCCCTATATTATGGTGTATCATCACACAGCCTCTGAAGCATGATACACACACTTCCTTCAAGGCAATAAATCCAGGCTCCCAGATGAAAGGGACTGGTCCTCCCAGAATCTGCACCTCTATCTTCCAACCCTAATCTCCAACTGGAAAAAGTAGTAACTCTTAAGATATTCTCCATGTCCCAACTCAAAATTTCATGTATTTCTCATTGTCAAAAAAGTTAATATTAGCCCAGGAAACACTATTTATAGACAGCTCTCCAACTCTGCATGTTTATTAAAGCAACATCCAAGACAACAGATCCCATGAATAGAATTTTGAGTAACAACGGAATTTTCCCACTACTTTGTAAGTATTTAAGTTATAAAATTCATCAAACCTCCACACAAGATTAGAGAACAGAACACTGAACAAATCTACAAATTATCTTTTCATAATTTTGTATTTTCTCACCCATTTTAATTGCTTAAGAAAAAAACATGGAAAAAAATAAAATATTATCTGGGAAAAAAAAAGAAAAAAACACAATTTTGCCTTAATTAGGAAATAAGCTATACAGGGGGATATCTTAATTTTGGACCATACACTGCTGCTGCTGCTGCATCGCTTCAGTGATGTCCGACTCTGTGCGACCCCATAGACAGCAGTCCACCAGGCTTCCCCGTCCCTGGGATTCTCCAGGCAAGAACACTGGAGTGGGTTGCCATTTCCTTCTCCAATGCATGAAAGTGAAAAGTGAAAGTACCAACACTGCTGCTGCTGCTGCTAAGTCGCTTCAGTCGTGTCCAACTCTGTGCGACCCCATAGATGGCAGCTCACCAGGCTTCCCCGTCCCTGGGATTCTCCAGGCAAGAACACTGGAGTGGGTTGCCATTTCCTTCTCCAATGCATGAAAGTGAAAAGTGAAAGTGAAGTTGCTCCATCGTGTCCGGACCATACACAAAGATGTAATAAGCTTTTTAAGTCATCAGTGATTTAAAAACAATCTAAGGGACAAAAGAACTTGAAACCAACATTATCAGTATGAAACACCATGAAATATTTATGTAATCAGATGAACTTAGGACAATTTATCTAGTAGAAACTATCACCATAGTAAATTGTATAAAATCAGGTACCCTAACCCATGTACATTAAAAAAAATATGTTTACATATAAGCTGCAATTTGTGTTTTTCTATTACTTGCTATTTGTTGGCATGAAAGCACTTGGACAGTAGATTTCAAGTACCTACAAAACCTTAACAGTGAAAGAAAAGAGGAGGTCACAAAGGCTTTAGAAAAATATTTTGGGTGGCAAAGAGCTAATATTCGGAAAGTTGATCCAAGGAGTTAGTTTCTGTGCTAAATACACACCTCTGACCATTTAAGGACTTTTCATAGAAACTGAGTTTGAAAACTCTGATCTATGAAAACAAGGCTAAAGTTTTGTAAAACAGCATTGTTTTTGGCAAAGTTAAGCATAAATCCAAAAATATTAGTTTCTTCATTTGTGTATATTAGCGCAAATTTTAACAACTGTGATGACACAGTTCCTAAAAGTTGAGAATAAGTCAATAATATTTACAAAAGACAACCTTAACCTTGTGATTTAATGTTATAATAGGAAAACAATGTCAGATTTGGGGAATTTATATCATTAATCTACAGGACAGTTAAAGACATACTGACCAAATTAAATGTTCAGTTTTAAATTTTATTTGATTCTAGACTACCCTCATTCAAATCACCTACAGCAAATCTTCAGTCTTGGATTTCCCTGGCATCTAGTACCTACGAAGACTGTCTCCAGCCTTTGGTTAAATATGGCAAAAAAAAAAATGAGGGCTTCTAATTAAATAAAAAGAAAACTGTTTCTTCTACAAAATCAACTATGATAAAGCTAAGAGGCCAACTTGATTATTCATATCTCTCTCTGCTTCAATCAGATAAGAATAACAAGTTGACTTGTGTTTCATAGGCTAAGGTAAAACTAAAATTCTTGATAATATCTCTAAAAGAATATGTAATAACACATGGGTATCTGCCATTATTTTACTATATAATAATACTTCATCACATCTAGGCTATAATGTATTCCTTTATGCTGGCTTTATTAGGAATTTTATTAGTAATTATATTATGACCATAATTATCTGAATTAGGTACTAGCAGTAATTTAAGTGGTAAAACTGGAAAATTATAAATGAAGCTTTAGTGCATTAAAATGCACTCAATATAATTTAAAATGCATAAGTATGAGTTTCTTTATATTTGATATTATTTAACTGAACTCTGCACTTTGCAACACACCAGTTTTTAAGTAACTAGATACATATTTTGCAACCAGTTTGCTCTGGTCAATTTCCAGGGATGCACCGTCAATCACATTAAGCCTATGTGCTATGGGCAGTGACTGATACCACTTTTAAATTTTTTCAAGTCAAATTATCTTTGCTTCGTTCTTTGAGAACTGATCATTTATTTATCCCCACAAAGAAGGGTAAGATCTTGGTCCCAGCAATGTAAACTCATGGCTCCCCTCCAGGTTGATACAGGGTGGCAATGTTTGGACAGGTTAGATTCTCCGTTGGTGCTAATCCTTGAGGAAAGGCATTCAAAACCCCTTTCTGTGTTTCTCCTAAAGAGATGGG